TTTGCCTCGAGGTCCAGGAGTGAGTACTGCCGCTGAAACCATGGCCAAACAAGCCCAAGCAGTACAAGAAGAAGTACGACAGAAGCTGGAGGAAACAAATACCAAATATAAAGCAGCCGCAGACAACCATCGGCGCTCCAAACTGTTCAAGGAAGGAGATTCAGTAATGGTGTTTTTGTGCAAAGACAGATTTCCAGTCGGCACATACAACAAATTGAAGCCTCGCAAGTATGGTCCATATAGGGTGTTGAAGAAAATCAATGACAAGGTTTATGTGATTGAGCTACCAGACGACATGAAGATTTCCAAGACTTTTAATGTAGCCGATTTATATGAGTATCATGCTGAAGAACCCCTCTATCCAGAATCGAACTCGAGGTCAAGTTCTCTCCAAGAAGAAGGGACTGATGTAGAACAAGTAGCCGAAGACTTCTTGGAACAATTGGACCGACAAAAGGCAAGAAAGATGTAGTACAAAATTCTATAATTTTTATATTTCTTAATTTTAGTCTCTTAGGTTTCCAAGCTAGGATTTTAAATAGTTTAGAATTTTTAGTCTCTTAGGTTTCCTAGTTCTCTTAGGTTTCTTAATTTGTGTTGATTTAAGTTTCCTAATTTATTTTGGAATCACTTTTCCTACAAGTATTAGGTTTAGTTTATTCAATTTTCCTACAAGTATTAGGTTAGGTTTAGTTCATTATAAATAAGCCTACAAGCATATGTAATTGATTCATTCAATAATATTTTAAAGAGCTTTTCTTCTATCTTCCTTGTGGATTCAAGGGTGTTCTTGTGGATTCAAGAATTCTCGTCTACTAGAACGATATCTAGTCTCGTGTGATTTATTCCGCTGCGTCAAGAGTGGTGCTATTAGCACCCCAAGAATTAATTTGGACCCCCGATTTCTTTGAACTCCCATTTATAATTTTGAAAACCCTAGAAATTTCTTTACACCCCCCAAATAATACCAAAATTATTCTTAAACATTACACCCAATTGAATGGACACCCCCACACACACCCCCTCCAAAAAAAATGATCTCTGTTAAAATAAAAATAAAAAACCCTAACAAAACCTCATCATTTTCAAACCCACGAACAAGAAGAACAAGAAGAAGAAGTAGGAGAAGTGTAACTCTGACTTTGATATGCTCTGTCTTTCTCGCTGTCCGTCTGTCTATCTCTCTGGCATGTTTATTTTTTTGGTCAGAAAGACGCATGTAAAGCACCAGTTGATTTGAGTTGAGTTCTATATTTAGTCTTATATTTTCTCTTTGTCATTATTTGGCTAAGTTTGGATAGTTGGTAATAGGCATAATTGTTATGGGCTAATGTAGTTGTATTATTATGTTAGTGTGACCTGATTTTGGGGCTTCGATTTTGGCAACTGAAGCCCTAAATTTTGATGTTCTATAAAGGGTTATTAAATCAATTTACTCAATATGCTTCTGTTCTGTGTTAACTAATGGATGTGGATTTACTCTCTTAATATGCAAAGATTTATCAAAAACTCTTGCAAGCTGTCACTCTAATAAGAAGAAATACAATCTATTGGTATGATTCTCCTTATCATACCTACATAACCTGCTATTAATGTGTAAATTATGTTAGTGAGGATTTCAATTGTAATGCAAATTACAATCATTATTAGCCATCATTCTAGTTCTTCATGTTCAACCTTGCTGGTTTTTTAAACTGACAGGTATCTTTGAGTGGTCATCTGTTTGATCAATTTCTGATAAATGAGGCTTTGAATATTATCGAAGCTGTAGGTGGCTCCTTTCACTTAATTAAGTGTCAAGTGGGTCAAAGTGCATATTATAGTAAGTAATCTTGTAGCCTAGTTTGATATTGGGACCAAAAGGAAAATATTACATATGGACACACATGAACATCCACATCATAGTACCGACAATATACACTTTGACCCTCAATTTTTGTGTATCTAGGTTTCTTGCCCCAACTCTTATTTAAATATCTATGCCCTTGTAAAATTTTGTACAATTTTGTGCAGTTTACATATGAACTATCAATATTTGTATTCTATATTTTTTGAATTTTGTTGTGTAACATAAGCATTAATCATTAAAATTCGTTGAAAAATATTATATATATAATAAATATGTATTGATATTCTAGTAAGTGAAATGATATCCATAACAATTACGCATTATTTTACATGACAAATTAGATGTCAATGCTTTATGATTTTGAATCAATTATTACAAAATTAGGATGTAGAAAATAGAGGAGGGATAATCATTTGAGATGGTATGACAAAATGTAATAGAGATCAAACAATGCACCTGTAAGAATTCAGGTTTGAGAATGCCAAAAGACAAAGGGTTAGGCTAAGAAGGACATAGGTTGAGTTGGTTCCAAAAGAAATGATTAACTTAAACTCGACTGAAGATATGGTTTTTAAAAGAAAAAATTAGAGAAAAATTATACAATAAGTAAACCCCAAATAATTGAGAGTCAAGTCAGGTATGTTGTGAATTTCTTTACATTGTACATGTTAGAGGGACACTAATTTTAGATTTAGCATATAGCTATAACATATATAAGGAGCCTACTAAGTGTGGTACACTATTTTATTCTCTTTCACTTCTCTCTTTTCACTCTCTACCTCTCATCTCTGTTCCTTATTACCTGAGAATCTAACAAGAAATTGGGACTAACGCTTCTTGAGTTAAGATTTATGTGAAATTCATTTGCAAGTGCACTGACAGCTTCTATTTTGATGTTTATGAGCTTGGGATATTCTATTTTGTTTAAGTCAGGGATGACACCTAGTTGAGTAACGTGATTTGGAAAACTTGAATTTTAGAGACCAAAAGAAGAAAAAGAATCCTTTGACCTAACTTGCTTTTGATCATATACATAGCTACATAGCACTGCATGACCACAAACAAGCTAACTTTCTTTTCATATACAACATGTTTGCTCTTGCATATAATCATATTATTTCTTTTCATTTTTTCCTTCCCTAATAAGTATGTTTTCATTTTTTTTTAATTGCTATACTTGTCTTACCTTGTGAATATTGCATCTTCCAAATGATGTAGCTAACTTATGGACATTAACAATACAACTCGAAAGCGGCAAACGGCATCTTTGAGACGTAACACAACCCAAGTACCTCAAAATGTCGGTCGGAAACGTCGTGCTTGTAATGTTCAGGTTGACGAATTTGATGGTGCTGAACCCAATGTCAAAGATATTGGTAGCAATGAAGAGCAAACGAACATTCCTATCATTGACCACCATACGGACATTCCTGATGTTGACCATCCTACTGACATGCCTGGTTCAAGTGAAGAGCTTGCTACATCATTTCCCGGGGCCCAGTTGATCATTCAATTCTGATAAATTTTAGTTGTCATGTAGCAGCCAAAGTTTGGAATAATGAGGTATAACTTACAAACTATTGTCTTGTTTTAATAATTTCAATAAAACAAATGAGAGATACATGACACCGTTGTGATATGCAATGATGCAGGAACGAGATTTGTTAAGATGCTTGAACCATGGCTCTAAGGTTGCCAATTGGTCTTTAACATCAGAAGGAGTTGACAACTAAAAATTCATGATCATTTGTGAGATACTATGGATGTTTTGTTATTAAAATGAATTTTTATGTGTATTTTCGTATTAGTATGGATGATTATGGACCATCCTTTTGACTTAGTAATATCATGGATGATTTTGTCATGGTTGCTTTAATGTACGACAGAAGTTATGTTCGCACCATGGTTTTCAGTTAGTAATTTCATTAATGCTTTTGAGTTATATATGTCGTGTTTGATTGTTATGATTGCTTCAAATTTGTTGTTGTGTTTTTATCGTTATATATACATCATCATTGAGTTTAAGAAGTCTTTATATTCGGGCTTGTATTCCCGAACATTACATAGTTGTTCAGGAACACATTACCGAACAAATAAGTAATGTCCGGGCCTGTATTCCTGAACATAAAAAAATACAAACTTCTGGGAGCTTTAAGAATTTTGACGGTTGAAAGTGTTAATAAGTCTCCATGTTCGGCCCTGTACTACCAAACATTACATAGTTGTTCGAGAATACGTTACTGAACAAATAAGTAATATCCGGGACTGTATTCCCAAACATAAAAAAAATGCAAACTTCTGGGAGCTTTAAGAATTTTGACGGTTACAAGTGTTAAAAAGACTTCATGTTCGGGCCTGTACTCCCGAACATTACATAGTTATTGGGAACACATTACTGAACAAATAAGTAATGTCCAGGCCTATATTCCCGAACATAAAAAAATGCAAACTTCTGGGAGCTTTAAGAATTTTGACGGTTGCAAGTGTTAAGAAGTCTCCATGTTTGGGCCTGTATTCCCAAACATAAAAAAATGCAAACTTCTAGGAGCTTTAAGAATTTTGACGGTTGCAAGTGTTAAGAAGTCTCCATGTTCAGGCCTGTATTCCCAAACATAAAAAAATGCAAACGTCTAGGAGCTTTAAGAATTTTGACGGTTGCAAGTGTTAAGAAGTCTCCATGTTCAGGCCTGTACTCCCGAACATTACATCATTGTTCGGGAACACGTTACCAAACAAATAAGTAATAAGTAATGTCCGGGCCTGTATTCCCGAACATAAAAAAATGCAAACTTCTGGGAGCTTTAAGAATTTTGACGGTTGTAAGTGTTAAGAAGTCTCCATGTTCGGGCCTGTACTCCTGAACATTATTTATTTGTTCGGGAATACGTTACCGAACAAATAAGTAATGTTCGGGCCTGTATTCCCGAACATGAACAAATGCAAACTTCTAGGAGCCTCAACAATTTTGACTAATGACAGTGTTAACAAATTTCCATTTGGTCAAAGTTTAATATTTTTGATTAAGATTGGAATTCTTCAGATAATAAAATTGGACTTCACGTTACCAACCAGTTTCATAAATAAACAAAATTAGAATTCTTCAGATAATAAAAAACATGTTATAAACATGCACATCTACTTCGCTAGAACTTCATATGTCTACATCTAACTCTATTGTCTCAGTTGTTGCTACACTCGATCCTACGAGTGAAGTGAAATGTTGTACTTGGGCATTGTAAGTTGTCTCCCATCCTGCAGCAGCACATAAATGGTAACGTTGCCAATTTGTTGCTATAGGTGGCATCGGGTGACCATGCGCCAAGAAGACCTACAAATATGAAATAATGGTAAATTACAATTTACTATTGTATTGCTAATAACAAAAATAAATTTGTTTCAATAATGGGCCTCATAATGAGTACCTGAATGAAATGGTTGTTGTTGACGAACCCGATACATATCTCCTTGCGAGATGCAATCGGCATTGGGATCGTTCTAAGAGGGAGAAAAGTAAGGCATTGTTGAGAAGATAAGTGAAATAACACAACATTGTAAAAAGATAATATCAGATGACCCATGTCAGGCATTGTCATCCAATGACTATATGCAGCATTTGATTCAAAATACGCTAAAGTAGTAGTTAACTCATCAACTCTTTCTTGACCCCCAAATAAACTCTTGTAGCGATCTATATGGGCATGTAATTCTTGTAGTAAATCTTTCCTCACTTGCAACCATCCATCTTCCCAAAATCCCATCAATCCAACAATGGTTTGAAATCCACAATTACCATTAGCATTAACATTCTTCACGAGTTGAATATATGGCCTCAAACTTGAAGGAAATTCACCTACGAAAGACAAATTGGTTTTTTTGTTGTTGATCAGTGTGGGTATACCTACACACATAGCCAAAGTTAGTTAATACATGTTGTACAGGTATAAACATAATTAATCGGTTTGCAAACCCACACCTTTGGTCGCTGCATTGATTTTAATTTCTTTGGACACATATTTTTCTTCAAACCTACACTTGGTGAATAGCTGTCCTGTGTAGATGAAACAAACTTAAAGGCAGAGGGCTCACGACGAGTAGAAGTATCAATCTTCAAGGATGGTTGACCTCGTGGGTTAAGCTTCACTTCAGGTTCAATGAAGAATGTACTCTCAGGTGTATGTATCTCCCTCAACTTCTTTAATATTTGAACCTGCATAGTTCGATCTACCTCTTCGTAACGTCGAGCAAACATATCCAACTCTGATTTGTAATCCAAAAATGAATTTGATTTTTTAGGAGTATTAATCATGTCCAGCTTGGACCAATGTGGATCTACAGAAGTTAGAGGAATTGGTCAGTTTTCTCTCATATAATCTACTATTTCATGCGCACACGGTAATCCATGTGTATAACGAACAACACAACCACATGTAACAATGTCAATGCCGACAAAAGAAGCTCGCTTGGACTTTGCCAATATCATTTCCAATGCTACAATAGACACATTCCCACGAAGATCTTTAAATTGAGCAGGCTTGAAATTATGTTGCACATCTGTCTTGCTTTCCTCAAAAGATGATTTGATGTCAGTGTGTTGCAACTCAAGAAAATTGTGTATCCTTGACCAATTTGACTAAAAACTCCCTTGACTTGATCCAAGATATTTCTTGAGCTTTGCATATGAACTCTCTACCCTATATATGTAAACCATTACAATGGTAAAACAGGAAAATATACATTTTTTTTTAAAATAATTGAATTTACCTGTTCGTTGTTGAATTTTCCAAGTGCATACATGTATTTGTCCATGCAGCTACAAATCTCTCCTTATATGTATCCAACCAAGAAGATGTGACATATTGAAGTGCCGCTACATAAAAGGCGAACTCATTTTGTAGTAATACGAGTCGTTACATGTACACTTCTTTAAAAGATGACATAACCAACATATTCCAACTTGTTATAAACATATCCCATTTTTCCTTTTTCTCAAACAATTTTTTGCATTTGGCCAACACATTTTTATTAATATGCCATCTACATAACAAACTTGTAGCGTATGGAAATATCGTTGCAATAGCATTCATTAGACTCAATTCTCTGTCTGAAACAATAACATTGGGAAGACTATTCTCATCCATCAAACTACGCAAAATACCAAGTGCCCAAGCATAATTATCCTCCCTCTCATACTGGCGGTATGCAAAACCCACAGAAAAAGTCTTTTCAGTGGATGTTACTCCTACAATCTCTAAAAGTTGCAAACGATATCGATTGGTCTTATTTGTACAATCCATTAGTAACACGCGTGGGAATGCACGTAGCAAATCCAAACTAACTAGATGTGCAAAGAATAAATCGGTAACAGTCTTAGTATCTTTACAGTTCCTATGCCATTCTATGTATTTGTTCACCGCTAACTGACCCAATAGTAGCTGCATTTCAGATCTCCCAGCCTTCTCAAAAACTTTATGCCGTTGATGTGCATTGTAAATTGTTTTCATTGTGGAAACATTTTCACTATTGCGTTGTTTAAGTGTGACTAATATCTCACTTGGTCGTACCATACTCTTTGACATATCAACCAACAAAGAAGTTTCCTCATGTGATAATTTCCTAGCATAAGAATGACCTTCAAGACAAACCGCAGTAGGATGATTATGCACACCACATATCACGATCAATGTCCAATCATCGTTTGTATCTAATTTTTTAGCTTTTAACAGAAAAGGCGGTCACATTTTTTACTACCGGTAAGTTTCAATTTTTTTCCCTTAGGTCTAGTGTTTTTCCTAGTGTCCCTATAACATCCGCTCCTCTCACAAGCAAAAGTGAGTCTTGGTTTTTTACGATGAGTACCACCCGCATATGATTTCTTCGCAACAATAACCAAACCATTTCTCCTCCTAACATCACGTACCCACTGAATTAATTCATCTCGAGACTTGAATATCTAAAATTGTAAAAATAAAGTAATGATTTTGTTACCAATATACACATAAAGAAATAAATTAATGCACATTAACAATATACATTTGAAAAATATTCATATATAATTTTCAATGCGTTCGTATATTACCTCATGAGTCACAAATTCATTACTATAATCTATTATGAATTCTGAGCCAACTTTGCTGCTTTTATTTGACTCGCCATCATCCTAAAATAAATAACAATACAAATTAAATTTTAAAATTTGATCAGTAAAACAGGTCCGAACCTATGAATAACGTTCGGTTACATGCTTCCGAACAAATAATAAATGTTCGGTTATCGGTTCCTGAACAAATAAACAATATTCGAGCCTGTGTTCCCGAATTTCAGTCAAATGTTCGGGAGTTCAGTCCCGAAAAAATGATGAACATATTTTATAATTTTTGTCATTTTTTTCAAGAAACTTACCCTTACAAGCCCAATGTCCTCTGAGCTAAAAACAACATCAAAACTATGAATCTCCTCTGCACTGTCGTACTCTTCTCGTTTTATGGAATTGTAGTTGCCTGAAAAGCTTCCACTCATTGTTATTACCGGATGAGTGTAGGTAATCAAATTGTTGCCAAAGGGTTTTCAAGGTTTTCAGTGTGAGTAAGTTTTGAAGGTGGGATTTGGGAAAGATAAATGAGTGGTGATGGAGGTGGGTGTTTACATAAACCCTAATTCATGATATAATGGGTGTATAGGTTTAATTGTAAGATAGGGTGTCCCAACATTAATGATGCCCTTTTTCGTAATTTCATTTAAGGTTATTATTGTAATAAAAAAAAACTAAAAATTGGGGGGGTCCAACATAATTCTTAGGGTGCTAATAGCAGCACTCTTTCAAAATGCATGAAGAATTTATTTAAATTAAAATCAAAATGAATGTAATCCTTCAATAACGCATTAAAAGATTCACTGAGTTGTGTTGTACTCATTCTCGCAGCCTATGTTGATCTAACATATGGCCTATCCCATTTTTCCTTCACCCCAAAAGTCAACTTCAACCAATGATTATCATAAGCATCACATACATTAAGAATTTCCCCCCACTTCATTTTTCATTCATTTTCATCCTCAATATCAAACATAAATTTATTTAATACACTTTTCACTCCCTTTATCTTGAAAAAGACAATTAACATGCCTTAATGCATTTTGCATCAAATGCCAAGTGCACAAACTGTGACTCGTGTCAGGCATCACAATGGGTATGGCCTTAGCCATTACAGCGTCTTGATCGGCAAACAAAGTTTTTGGTGCCTTTTTTGACACAGCTTTTAAAAAAGTTTGAAATAACCATACAAACGTTTCGACAATCTCATCATACAACAAAGTTGCACCAAAAACAACTGTTTCTCTATGATTGTTAAATCCCACAAAAGATGCAAATGGCCTAAGCTCTTTATTTAACTTGTAGGTATTATCAAATGTAACTACATCGCCAAATCGGGCATAATCCATGATCATTTATGCATTAGCCCAAAACATTTTCATTATTTGCTCCTCATTATCTAAATGGAAAGCATAAAAAATAGATGGATTTTCCAAAGATTTTTGTTGAAAGTATTGCAATACATTACCTCCTTCTAAATGGAAAGCATAACTTTTTTGTCTTTTGGTTCTTAAGTAATTTTTTTTGATCTAATTTCATAAACCCAAGAGACTGCCTCCCACCAACTTCCCTACCCATGCGTTCAAAAGATTTCCCTAAATGAAGACTAGACTATGAAGCTAAGTCTAATTGAATTGCTTGGTAGCAGATATCTTTATTTGCGATGGCAACATATAGGCACAATCAGGAGATACAAGTTCATGGTTGTATTTTTCTTTGAAATCAATTCACAACAAATTTCCCAGTAGTGACATCCAATTTAACAAAAAGACGGGCCTCACAACCATTCATAGTTTCGGCTGTAGGGTTTTTTTGTCAATGGGTCTCGCTTGTCAACCTTCGAAATCCCACCTTATTGCAAACAAAATTTCTAGAAATAATTTGTTTAGTAAACTTCTTCTTCTTGCAATATTTCCTTCTTATGCTAAACCCCATTCTTCCGCCATATGCATTATAAAAATCATACGCACTTTCTTCCAAATCAAAGGTCATTCCTTCTTTTGGGTTCCAAACACAATCGTTGTCAGGTTCCATATCCATATGAAAACACAACTGAAAAGCAAAGGCAATGAAATGAGAGAAGTATCAAAATGCCATTCGTTATAACTTTGGTCATTCCTATAGAAACTCTTTCTTCAAACACAACTTAGAAAAAAAAAATTGAATTTATTAGTAATTAATTTGATTAAAGAAATGGTATAACTGGTTGTCTTATACATTAATTTAATGTATACTATTCATTCATACATTAATTTGACCTTTACAAAAATCACTAGAAAAGACATTCCTATAACAAAAACTACCAACAATTTGACAAATAAAATCAAGAACAAACCAAACCAAATCTCACAGATTAATTCCTATACATTAAAATCATTTCTATAAAAAAAGCTTTCTTCACACACAGCTTTAGAAAAAAAAAGTAAAAAAAAATTGAACCTTTAAGAAATCAAACAACAACAATTTCATGTCTTATACATTAATTATCATAACTATGAAGAGTTATTCCTATAAAATCATTCCTATTTAGAAAAAAATATATATAAATAAATAAATAATTAAATAAACCTTTAACAACTCAAACAACAACAATTTCGTATCTTATACATTAACCTTTAAAAAATCAAACAAGAGCCTTTAACTGGATGTCTTATACATTAATTTCATGTATACTCTTCATACATTAATTTAATCTTTAAGAAATCAAACATCAACAACTTTACAAACAAAATCAGCAACAAAATAAAAAATTTGACAAAGGACAATTTCAAAATACCAGTGAAAAAAAATCACTGAAAAAAACATATTACCGTAGGTTTCAATTTGGTGAAGATAGCACATAGAAGGGTTTTCTTGTCGGGGCTCTGGTTCATAGTGGAAATCTTGAAGGAGATGAAAATGAGGAGATGAGAGTAAGGATGATGGGCTGAGGGAGATGAAGAGAGAGAGAGAGGGAGAAACCGAGAAGGATTTCGAGCCACTTTGCGAGAGTGGGTTTTGGGGAGGGGAGGTCACCGTCAATGTTCGCTGTTGATCGCATGAGATGGAGTCGTCACTGGTGAAGAATTCAAGAGAGAGGGAAAAAGTGAATGGAAAGATATGGAAGGGAAAATTTGAGCTCAGTTTTGCTAAATGAAATTTGAATTTTTTATTTTTATTTTTTATAGCTAATTTGAGCCGCAAGTTTTTAGTGGGGTGACGTGGCCCAATCTGGGCCGTGCGCAGGAGGGAAGGCTGAAGAGGATCTGAACTCGTCCAAAAGCATCTCTGCATAAGAAAGAGTCCAAAAATAATAGAAAAATGCTAACCACCCTCGTTGGTTAATATTGAAACATATTTCTAGCATCATTAAAAACTATTAATTAACTTGATGATTTATTAATAAAATGAGCAATTTATTATGAAATTAGAAACCTTAGAGGATGGAATGTAATTTCTAGAACCACAGGGGATGATTCGTATTTTAATCAAATCTTAGGGGTGTATTTGTAATTTACCTTTAAAAATTTGAGGTTGAAAAGAGAGCACCCAACAATATTTTCTCAATACTCTGCCTTGTTTCTCTTCTCCCTACAATGGATCTCCAATTTCCCTTCTCTCACCACTTTTTGCATCCTCATTTTCTTCTTGTTTAAGTTAGTCAAATAATTGAAAAGACCCAAAACCCATAACCCAACTTAGAGATTGCCCACAAGCCACGGAAGCTACCTCTCATTGGAAGCATCCACTACTTGGCCGGTTCACTACCACATCACTCTCTACAATACTTGGCCAAGAAATATGGACCCCTTATGCACATACAACTTGGGGAGATCTCTGTTATTGTCATATCATCGCCAATAATGGCGAAAGAGGTGTTGAAAAAGCATGATTTAGCATTTACAAATAGGCCTAATCTTTTAGTAGGTACCATCATGACCTACGACAAACTAGATATCGTCTTTTCTTCCTATGGTGATTATTGGCGACAAATGCGTAAAATTTGCATCTTAGAACTCTTGAGTGCCAAAAATGTCCGCTCATTTTGTTCCATTCGGGAGAATGGGGTCTTGCATCTCATAAAATCGATCAAAATGTCCTCAAGATCACTTATCAATCTTACAGAAAAGGTTTTCACATTGATGAATGCCATAACTTCAAGAACAACATTTGGAAGGAGATTCAAACAAGAAGATGAACTGATACACTTAGTAAAGGAGTCAGTTTCATTGGGAAGTGATTTTAATGTGTCAAATTTGTTTTCTTCTCTCAAATTTCTTCATGTTCTTAGTGGAATGAAGCTTAAATTGGTGAGTATGCATAGGAAGATTAATGTGATTCTTGAAAACATCATTCATGACCATAAAAAAACTTGGCAAGCTCGAAAAAGGGAAATGGTGAATCAAGGGAAGAAGATATTGTTGATATGCTACTTAGACTTATGGAGATGGGTGACCTTGAGTTTCATATTGCAACCAACAATATTAAAGTTGTCATTCTGGTTAGTATTTATGCTTACAAATACATGTACATTTCTTTCGTTATTCTCCAAAAATATTTTCATACAAGTATCTGGTATGAGAAATATGTATTCGGTAATTTTTAAAAGAAATCGAATGTTGGGTACTACTGGAGTACAACAATGGGTGCGGTTTGGGTACAACATGGGTACATATCGAATAGTTTTGTTGGGAAAAACCTAGAGACTAGAATAAATATAAACTCCAAAAGTACACAGTATTTTTGCAAAAGGTCATAAATTTGAGAGTATACTTGGACTGTATTTGGATCAACGATTTGAGTAAGAATTTGTGAAGAAAAACAAATGAATGGAATATAATTTTTTTTACTATTCACTTCTCTTTTTCTTTTACTTTGATAAATCTTCTCTCAAATCCTTAATCCAACCATGGCCTTAGGGTTCTTCTTAGTCTTTACAAATTCAACAATTATATTTCTCTATCCGTTAAGATTTTGTCTCTCTCTTAATGTAATCTCTTTGTCGTTGACATTCAACTCTAATGTGAAACTTTCTTTATCTATTTTTGCATTTAATTTCTAATTGTTTTACATCTATGTTACTACAAATTATAAAAGTACTTTTTTTTATAAATGTATTTTTTTTTTATAAACGTAAAGAGTTTTACTCCTTTTTTTTTTTATCAGAAGAAAATCCATTGAAGGAAGCCAAATCGGCACTTACAAAGTCCATCCAAAAACAAAGCTTACACCAAACAAAGTAGAGATATTACAATAAGCATACTGGAGAAAAAATATGAATATATTCAGATGCACATTTCGTGCTCATGCTCGTAGTACAAAGTAGAGCCGATCATAAGGTTCGACAATAGAGTATGTCTAAGATAAAACATATGTTTCATAGTAGAGTGGGTAAGCCACAAATAAAGCACTGGTGGACTCAATAACCATAACCAAAATCAAAGAAAACATAAAAAGAAAAGAAAAGCTAGAACCTCAGACCCAAGATCCGTGATAGATCTGTTGGAGAAGAGGTTGTAACGGCTTCAAAGTGATTCGGCTAAGGGAGTTGCAGATCTTAGTTCCAGCAAGCTGAGAACGCAGCGGCTTTGGAGGAGAAGGATCGTGGAAGCGGCAGAGAGCACAATCTGGAAGATCCAGTGAGGCCCCAACTAAGGAAGTCAGAAATGAGAGGAAATGAGATGAAGAGTAAAGATTCACAATGAGGGGAAAACACCTCACATAAAGGGAGAAGATGGGAAGACTGGGCTCTCAAAGCTTATTGATCCAAATAGGACAAGGAAAATGGAAGAGAAAGAGGGGTAAAAGGGAGGAGAAAGGCGGCCGGAGGACTGAGCCCCCTCCACCACCCTGAGCAACACCTTCAAGAGTAACCCTAGGAGAGGTAAAGAGAGAGGCTCTCAGTTTTAGAGAGAGGGAGAGATGCTATTGAGCCTTACTCATATTCTATATTTTTTTAAATGTTGTCATTTCAACATACCTGTAATGTATTTGTACCAAAATAAATTCAACAATGAAAAACAAGATATGTTCTCAGCCAGCATTAAAACTTCTTCAACAACATTGGAATGGGCAATGTCAGAAATCATCAAGAACCAAAGAGTGATAACAAAAGTCTAAGTTGAACTCAGACATGCACTCAAGGGGAAAGAAAACAATTAATGAGACTAACATTCAAGGCTTAAACTACTTAAAATTGGTAATCAAAGAAACTCTAAGGGTTCACCCTCCAGCTCCTCTCTTACTCCCCAGAGAATGCAGAGAAGAATGCGAAATCAACGGATACAAAATCCCCTTAAAAACCAAAGTCATTGTGAACACGTGGGCCCTTGGAAGAGATCTTGAATACTAGCACGACGTTGAGAGTTTTTCGCCTAAGAGATTTGAGGACAGTGATGTTGATTTTGTGGGGACTAAATTTCAATATATTCCATTTGGGGCGGGAAGAAGAATGTGTCCTGGTATTTCTTTCAGTGTGGTCAATGTTGAGCTTCTTTTGGCTCAATTGTTGTACTTTTTTTTACTGGAAACTGGTCTCTAGGACTAAGCTAGAAGATATAGACATGACCGAGTCATTTGGAGCAACTGCTAGGAGGAAAAGGAGCATGTGTTTGATTAGAACTCCTTATTCACTTGATGATGATGATCAATCATGCTAAAAGATCTAAACAAGTCTTATGTGCTGGGTTTATGGAGCAAATTAGTACTGTATACCTTACTACGTAATCACGGATCTAACTATAGATGTAAATAAATCGTAGCATGCATATATTGTTGTTTAGACGAACAATTAATATGTGCTCTTTCAATATAGTCGAATGGAAAATGCTATATGCCCCAAATTTTCTACTAAATAAATGACCAAATGTCTCACATGGGTGTGGGGGTCTACAAAATTGCGGATCTCACACCCATGTGAGACATATGGTCATCTGTTTGATAGAAAATTTGGTATCCCTAGCATTACCCTAGTCGAATTGGTGTCAGTTGTGGATGTGAATATTCTTGTAGAACCACATATAATGTGTCGAGTTTTTTTTTTTTTTGGTGATTGATTGTTCTTGTTATTGTGTGTGTAGTTTATTATGCAATAACTGCCTTCATTTTCTTTTAGTTTCTTTTAAGAGCAATGTTATATATCCAAAAACATTATTCAGAAAAATACTTACAATCTAATGGCAGAAACTCAAATCTATACCCCGCAACAAGCTCAAATCTATATAGTACATTTTAAATTGGAAGTTTTTCAAAATAGTTAGTATTTTTTTTTTTCCTTTTAATTTTGTCCACTCTGTTTATGGTCTTTTCAATACTATACTCATATGACATGAAGAGGTAGTGCCCCATCCAATTTGTGATTGGTGGTGAATAGGGTGAGCTAACAATTTATTGTTGGCATGGAAGGCAGAAATGAGTGAGACCTCTAAAATTATAACTCTAAAAGGGTATTAATTTGTCCTTTCCCCCCTCCTGTTTTGTCTTTTACCTCCCTCTATTTTTATTTTTTATTTTTTTTTAAGGGTGATAGCTCATTAGAGCTGCTTTTAAGCAGCTCTAATTAGAACTCTCTAGCAGAGCCCCATGGAAGGGAAGGGTTGGCCTTCAAAGACAGTTATTCTTACCCTACTGGACTAGTATATGTTTCTAATATTCCTCTTGTTTTGGAACCTTATTACTTATTCCAATCAATAGTGCTCACATTGGACCCATCTATCCATGGCACACCTTTCACATTGAAGAATCATCTCAAGATAAATTGATATTAGGCCTCGTTTGGTAACAGGTTATTCTAATAATTTTTTAACTTTTTAATTAAAATATGAGGTAAAAAAACTTGTATATTTGAACTAATTTTTTGATTTTTTATAAAAAAATGTGCAAAAAGTAGAGAGAAAATAAAATTTGACCTTTTAGTATAAGTTATAATTTTTTTTTAATTTTTTAGTAATGTTTTGACTTGTAAACTAAAATTATCACTTTCCAAACGAGACTTAAGAACAAGAGTACTTGTCAAAAAAGACTTGAAGTCTTGGAAATAGAGGGAAGGATTTTCTGTCCTTCTATAGCGAAATATTGGATTGGATTTTTTTTGATTTTGTTTAGTAAAAGACATAGTTTTTGCAAAACTAAAAAAAATCAATCCAAACAAAATATTACATCCAATCTCATAATCATTTCATTTTTTCTCTTACAAATGTCACATCCAACTACAAAAAAACTCAACTATCTTTTCAAACACCAAAAAAATTTCTCTAATAATATCCTAAAATTAAAAAAATCTACATAAAAACTCACTTTCCAAACACTCACATAATTTAATAATTATGAATATTTTAAAACAGAAAAAATGTAAAATAATTAAAAGGCATTTTAAAATTCGTAAAAAAAATATATTGAACATTAGTCATAAGTGTCTTAAGATTTATAATTTTTTTTTTATATATCAGAGTACTTGTTAACGTATCTAACTTTAACTCTTTGAAAAAACAATTCAAAGATCTTGTTTTGGCAAAATAAAAGTGTATGAGATATTATTTATTAGGTTCGATTTATCATGTCATCCTTATAATTGATGTGCTAAATTAATAAAATTTTCAAAAAAAAAATGATAGTTGTTTTTTGAATTACTAAAAAATTGACACTTTTTAAAAAAAATTATTCATATATTTTGACTTTTTCTTCTTTAAATACTCTTGCAAATACAGCGCGCCTCTCACGCGAAAATTTGAAATTCAGAAAGCGCCAAGCGATCTCTGCCATACACGCGTGCCCTTTTGACGTCTCAGATTTCATACAAAATCTCAAACTTCGTCTCTAACTCCGAAGCCCTAGAAATGCTCATTCTGTCCTGAAATTCGAACGTTAAAATCTCTCCGACATCCTCACATCAATCACTCCGAAGCCCCCAAACATGGCGTCGATCAAATCCTCTGCTTCGCGGTACACCTCCTACGATTCTCGATCTTCGACCCAGTCTTTCCAATCCGACCCCTCATCCTCCACCGAGCTCAAACCCAACAAACCCTTAATCAAACGCTTCATTGGCGGCACCGCCAATCGCAACCACCACCAGCCTCCGTCTGCGGCGGCCCAGAGCTCTTCTCGAGCCATCGTGAAGGCCAAACCGTCGGATTTAGTTCAGGCGAAGCAAAAGAAAGATCAGAATTTGAGTGGATTGGTGAAGAAATTGATGGGGGCGAAGCCGAAGAAGGCGGCGAATTTGGTGATTCCAGTGGATTTTATTGCGGAGGATTTGAAGAAGACAGCGAAGAAAGGGTCGAATTTGGGTGGGTTGAATCGGAAATTGTTTGGTAAAGGGTCGGAGATGAAGGCATTGACGGAGGTGAAGTCGAATACGAGAACTTTGGCGATGGTGCTGAGGAGTGAAAGAGAGCTTTTGAGTCAGAATAAGGAGCAGGAGGTGGAGATCACTGATCTCAAATTGATGGTAGAGGAGAAAAACAGAGAGGTAATATATACAATTATGTTTATATATATGCACTAATTTAGCAAAATTGTTGATTGATCTGTCCAACATTGCGAGAAAAATCAAAACTTTGAATGTGTTAGTAACATGAGCTTACACAATGGCCTGTGTTTGTGTTGGACTTCTAGGGTTGAAAACGGGGGTTTATTTTGGTGGCATTGACGGCAAAATATTACATTTGGATGTGCCCTTTTCTTGTTGATTGATCAGTGGAAATTTAACTATTGAAAATGCACTCACTTTGCGAGAAAAATCAAAGCTTTGAATGTGTTAGTAACATGAGCTGACACAATGGTCTGTGTTTGTGTTGGACTTCTAGGTTTGAGAAATAGGGCTTATTTTGGTGGCATTGACGGCAAAATATTACATTTGGATGTGCCCTTTTCTTGTTGATTGATCAGTGGAAATTTAACTATTGAAAATGCACTCACTTTGCGAGAAAAATCAGCTTTGAATGTGTTAGTAACATGAGCTGACACAATGGTCTGTGTTTGTGTTGGACTTCTAGGTTTGAGAAATGGGGCTTATTTTGGTGCCATTGACCGCAAAATATTACATTTGGATGTACCCTTTTCTTGGAAAATCTGTTTCTCGAGAAATTGGAACTTGGAGATTATTTTAATCTTCTTGGTGGGCTAAACAAATGGTTAATTATTATTATTTATTTGTTTTCTGATGGTGTCTCTGTTTGTTTTATTGTGTAGACTAGAGAAGATGTTGATTAATATATTTGGGATTTTTGTGTATTGGGATATATAACAGAAATCACTAATTTGTGTTCACTTGATGTGAAACAGTATTTTGTGCTTTTTTGTGGACTAGCTCAATGGTTTATGTTTTAACTGTTAAAATTTAACCATTGAAAATGCACTTGCGTTGCGAGAAATATCAAAGCTTTTGGTGTTTTAGTAACTTCATGAACTTATACAATGGTTCGTTCGTTCCGAACTTTTAGCATTGAGAAATGAGATTTAAGCCAAGTTTGGGATCTTCCCAAAAAGCCAAAAAGCCAAAAAGTTACTCAAAAAGTTAAAAAGTTAACACTATTCACCAAAAGTCAACAATTACGGCTGCACAACTCCCAATTCAAATTTTTCCCTACAAATCAATTTTTACAATTTTTTATTACACATTTTTCAATAAAAAGTCAAAAAGTTAACCCAAACATCCATATTTTCAACCTCAATTTTTTAGTCCAAAAAGACAAAAAGTGCACTTATTTAGTCTTCCCAAACTTGGCCTTATTTTGGTGCCATTCGCTGCAAATTATTACAATACCACTGTTTCTTGGGAAATCTTTTTCTCGAAAAATTTGTAATTTGAGTTATTTTGAATCGTTTTGGTCGGCTAAACAATAATTTTTATTTATATTTTTTTGAATTTGTTTGATGGCGTTTGGTTTTGTATTAATATGAAGACTAGAGAAGATGTTGTGTTTGAGGTGAAACAGTGTTTTATCATTTTCTATGAACTATCTTTGAGATTTGGTTAAAAAATGAGGGCTGTTTCTTCGCACATTCTCATTGTCATCACTTGATTTTGTAGGTTGAGAAACTGAAGGATTTGTGTTTGAAGCAAAGGGAAGAGATAAAGGCGTTGAAGAATGCTGTACTATTTCCAGATGCCATGAATTCACAGTTTCAGGAACTTTGGGAGAAGCAAGGTTCCGAACTAAAGCAGGCAAAACAACTCATCCCTAGTCTCCATAGACAGGTCACTTCTCTTACAGGCCAACTTCAATGCCTTGCCGAAGATCTTGCAGAGGTAGCACTTTACATGTGACACTAAAACCTTCAAATTATTGGTGTTTGAAATTTGTGGATTTTTTTTTTTCTTGGCATTTGAATTTGTGACGCTAAATTTGCGTGAACAGGTGAAGGCAGATAAATATTCAGCAAGGAGGTGTTATGATAATCTTGTCAGCTCTCCGAGGACACTGGCATATGATCAAGAAGACACCCCTAATTCTCTGGTAAACCCTTCATATTAAACTGTAAAATCATAAATTGTAGCCAATGATTGTGATTCAAATTTAACCTATTTTGCAGATTATAATTTGAATTTTGTTCTAGTATTTTTAAAATAAAATGTAAAAAACTCAGTTTGTAATGATTTAAAAATATAAAATATATTGGATCAAACTAAAAAATTTATAAAAATTAATCAATACTTATTTTAAAATCCAATAAATATGATCATTGAAAAAAAATGTGCGTATCGGTAAGTTTTTTTCAAATTGTGCGAAAAATAAAAAAATTCACGGTTCCGGTTACCGCAACCGTTACGCTACGGCCTTTACACCCCGCAACCGCAACCTCTCCACTGCCACCCTTATGGCGACCGCAACCGCTTTTCAGAACCTTGGAAATGAGATTTATTTTGGTGCCATTCGCTGCAAATTATTACAATACCACTGTTTCTTGGGAAATCTTTTTCTTGAAAAATTTGTAATTTGAGTTATTTTGAATCGTTTTGGTTGGCTAAACAATAATTTTTATTTATATTTTTTTGAATTTGTTTGATGGCGTTTGGTTTTGTATTAATACGAAGACTAGAGAAGATGTGTTTGAGGTGAAACAGTATTTTATCATTTTCTATGAACTATCTTTGAGATTTGGTTAAAAAATGAGGGCTGTTTCTTCCCACATTCTCATTGTCATCACTTGATTTTGTAGGTTGAGAAACTGAAGGATTTGTGTTTGAAGCAAAGGGAAGAGATAAAGGCGTTGAAGAATGCTGTACTATTTCCAGATGCCATGAATTCACAGTTTCAGGAACTTTGGGAGAAGCAAGGTTCCGAACTAAAGCAGGCAAAACAACTCATCCCTAGTCTCCATAGACAGGTCACTTCTCTTACAGGCCAACTTCAATGCCTTGCCGAAGATCTTGCAGAGGTAGCACTTTACATGTGACACTAAAAACTTCAAATTATTGGTGTTTGAAATTTGTGGATTTTTTTTTTTCTTGGCATTTGAATTTGTGACGCTAAATTTGCGTGAACAGGTGAAGGCAGATAAATATTCAGCAAGGAGGTGTTATGACAATCTTGTCAGCTCTCCGAGGACACTGGCATATGATCAAGAAGACACCCCTAATTCTCTGGTAAACCCTTCATATTAAACTGTAAAATCATAAATTGTAGCCAATGATTGTGATTCAAATTTAACCTATTTTGCAGATTATAATTTGAATTTTGTTCTAGTATTTTTGTTATATATGACCTTTTATTCCTTTCAAGAACCATTGAGATGAATGGGCTTTGCCGAAAAGCCAATACATATTTTGACTAGCCAAAATCACAAAGGAGAAGATGATAATCTTCCCTTAAAATCAAATAAAAAAGGAGTTATAAACAAATACTAATTTATAGATATTCTATTCTATGTAATAATCTGTCTGACAATTTATTTAGGAATTCAGCTCTGGAGATCACACCACTCTTGGAAGTCCAGATGACATGTTCGTCAATGACATAAATCCCTGTTTAACACCTTATTATGCCAACACAAAGTCCAAGGTATGTAGAAGAAGATCACACCATTCTTTTGCATTTTTCACTTAAAAGTGACTGACAGAATAGAATGGAAAACTTTTTTTTCTTTTCTTTTTTTTTTTTGGGATCTGGAAATAGAACTTTAACTAGTTAATATTTTACAGGAATTTGAGGCATTGGGCTGTGATTCTCCACCGGATGAAAGATTTTCTAGAAACAATATGCAGTTGAGGCATGAGATTGGTTTTGACTTCCGTGTTAGAAAAATGTCAAAAAGTTCAGATTGTTGCCAATGTTCCAACTCATCAGGGAGCACTTCTGCCCGACCAGCGCGCAGATCAGGCGAAAGCAAATGCACATATGGAAAGCAGATGAACCATAAGTTTTTATGAGTTATTTGGTGAATAGTATAAGCACATAGAAATTGATCACAGAACCGAACACAAATTGTATATAGATGGCTAAGAAATGTGGATCCACCCAACAAATTTTTAAAAATGTTAGCCATTCATATATATTTTGTGTCCAACTCTGTGATCATTTTTTGTGTTTGTAACAGAACTGTGATTTGGTGGCCTAGAGTTTGGATGTACCAGAGCATTTTCTTTTGAGCACAATTTCTCCTTTACTCTTCGTATTGTGGTCTGTAATTCTGGTCAATGCTCTATTTGTTTTTATATGATATAAGAGGCGCTGGCCAATATGTTCATCTTCAATAAAAGAAGAGGTTGAAATTGCTCGACTTGAGAGTGAAAATAATTAGTCCTGTCAATTTACATGTTGCATACACATTATGAGAACGTGCCATGTGATTTGAACATGTTGCCAATTTTTATGTTACAAAATTACTTTACTCTCTCATGGTTAAGGGTTGGAGCATTTTATATCGTTTAAATATAAACAGAGACTTATCTTGTGATTTTGGAATTGAAGTGCAACCGTTATGATAAACAGCGTGAGGGCAAGCAATGTGCAATTTGAAGCAAAAATTTAACTATAGGACCATTGTACAATATTTCAATAATCATACTATAGATCTTTCCATTTGAATGAAAGATCGAACCTAAAGCGATAGAAGTTAACAATGTTTCATAATCAGACTGCTGTTGTCCACAATAGTGGGAGCTTTGAGCACTGGACGGTCTCTTTTGTCCTTTTTTTTTCTTCTTTTTTTTCCTGATAACAAAATAATCTCAAGTTTGTGAAACCACAGAAATTTTCGAGCTTGCAGAAAATTCAGCATAAAATACATGATTGAGTAAGATAGAAGCATTTTATTTTATTAATTATTGCAGTCTAAATTTTCTTTTCTTACATAGTAATTTCATAAATCAGCCATCTACCCAAAAGAGTCTACATAAGACTTCATTCCCATTTCTCATTTACTCAAGCTATCTCACCACTTGTAGCCGCCCTGATCATCTGAAAGATGTCTGCCAAACAACAAAAAAAAGAGAATCATGTAAATGAAAAACTCTACAAACACATAATCCTATCACAAAAACAATCACAGATGTGAGACAAAATTAACGTGTTTGTGGGTCTCATGTCAAATATTTAGCATGATGAATGCTAAAAACATAGAAACAGAATACAAAACTAGACGCAAGCTTATGGATCCCGCACATTTTCTGGTTCCGTGTCCTGTTTATGATGGAAGAAGAATGAGAATTCTAGGAACAATACTCAGTACCAAATGAATTTTTCATATGGTGACGATGGGATTTTTAGAAACTGTCAATATATATATATATATATATTCCGATTACTAAAAATGAGAATAGATCAAACAAAACTAGTGCAAAATTTGAAATTGTCATTAGAGCTAGAGGTGCTCGCAGTTTGATTGTAGCCGGAGAACTTTCAATCCGTCATCCGTCTGTCGGATTGGAAAAAATCAATCTGCATCAGTCTGCCGGATTGGCGGATAGATACGAATTGATTTGGTGGTTTAAACTTCTACAAAATTTGAATATATTACAACAACTTGTCAACATTTTTTTTAGAATAACAATCCAATGCAATATAACCAAAAGATTATCAGATAAATTGTCAAATACCAATAATAAATACATATAAGAAAACCATGTATTATCAAAACTATTTCATTACTTTTTTTTTATTTAAAAACTATTTAATTTAATTTTTTTTTTAAATGACAAAATTAAGCCTTATATTTTTCATACAAAAATACCGAATATCAACACTTACCATTTGATAAAAGATTTCCAAATTGAAAACAAATTGAAAATACAACAGAATATCTAAATTCTTTTTCAATTGAAAACACAAACATAATATCTAAACAAATTAAAAATATAAAGTCTTATAAATTACTAGGAGTGCTCGCAGTTTGGTGGTTCGATTGCAGTTAAAGGAACCTCAAATCCGCCATCCGTCCAAAACTAGGCAGATTGGAAAAAATCAATAAGCAACCGTCCACTCGTCATCACGCATTCATCCAAAATATGACGGATTGGTTCGGTTTGATCGGTTTGGATGGATCGAAATATCCAGTGAACACCCCTAATTAGAGCATTCGGCATGAGTTGGTTCTAATGTATGAAGTCACAATTTTATTAAAAACTTCACATTATGATGAAACAAATAAAGGAAGCAAATGAAAAAAAATCTAATTTAGGGGGGGGGGGATAAAGAGCATACATGATCCGACAATCACGAAAACTAAAAGCCCAAGAACAATAAGTTCAACAGAGTAGTTGTATCCTTTCTTGGGTAATCCCCTCTTACTGATGTTTTTCTCAAATTTCTCAACTTTCCTTTCTGCAAGACGCTTTGAAGTAGTCTGTCCAATAATCAAAACAACAATTTAAACCCATTTTCAAAAACTTTCTCCAACTTCATTAACAATAGTGTAACATCAACAATTTAAGTGAATAACAGGCACCACAGATATAATTTGCCCATTAATAAGTGCTTCTTGTATGAAGACATTTTTTGTTTCTAGAAATATGTATGCAATGTAAAAGCTAAATGAATAACATCAATGCTTGGTAACTCGAATTTTCAAATAGTTCGAATGTCTCAAAATGATGTCGTTTTGATACATTCGAGACGGCATTTTGATACATTCGAGATGTCGTTTTGATACTTTCGAGTCATTCGGGCTACACAAATTCGAGTTATCAAGCATTTTTCAATGAAAAATGATCTATATATAGAAATGCAGCATTAAATATGACAAAAACAGACTTAAACTGAAGCTAACCCAGAAAGCGATGGTTATATACCCTCATCTCAAAACAAAAACTAAACAACAACAATGTTAAGAACTCAAATCAAAACCACATAATAGACATAGATATCTAATATAGGGTCCACATGTTGTGCCCCATTCCATCTGCGCCCTTTGACTTATTAAAAATTAAAACATAAATATATAAAACAAAGAAGAAAGAGAGACGAAACAACATTAAAAAAAAAAAATGGGAACAAACTAGAGAAGCCCTGATTTTATTCTGCAGAAGAAAAACATACATGAACAACTGTTACATAATTTCAAAATTACCTGGCAGATCTAAATGAATCATTAGAACTGAAAAATTAAGCAAAAGTTTAATTAGAGAGAACAAAGAGTTTTCACAGAGGGAAAACAAGAAATTTTGTTACCATCTTCTTGTTTGGAGATCAAACACTCCACAGCCAAGCTATAGAGAGAGAGAGAGAGAGAGAGAGAGAGAGGGGTCTCTATCGAAGGTACAGAAACCTAAGACCCTCAAAAAGTGGACACTTTTTAACACCGTATCAGCCTGTCGGAAGATTTTTTATTTTTATTATTTTATTTTATTTTTTCTGTAATGCCATGTCAGTATATTAAGGGCTGGTTGGACCAATAACATATAAGGTATCCCATTTATTGCATCATAATTATATATTTCTAATTTTGTGAAAGGAAAGAAAAATTATTTAATTTTACCACCCCCATTGGATTACATGTAGGTTTTTTTTTTTTGGAATTAACCATTACAAAACTTTTATTCCTCAATGCTAGGCTATGAACATTTATGTCGTGTTTAAGTTTTGAATTTGTGAAATGGATAAGGTAAATTTAATCGTACATATTTATTTTTATCAAATATTAACAAGCATTTTGGAACATTATTTAGTGTAGGGATTTAGGTGAAATTGTTTTGAAAATAAGTGAAAAAAGCTAACAAGTATATTAATTTCAATGAAAAATATATTAAATTTAAGGGTAAATTAGATTGACATCTCTTGAGGTTTATATTTATTACAGTTTCCCTCACATTTTGGAAATTACATCTCCCTCCCTAAGGTTTAAAGTTTCATTACAGATTGTCCCTAAAGTTTAAAGTTTCATAACAGTTCCCCCTCTTATCGTAATGATCATCAAACATAAAATTAAATTAACAAGGGGGTCAGTATAATTTTCCAAATGTGAGGAGAAAACTATAATAAATATAAATCTCAGAGGGTGTCAGTGTAATTTACCCTAAATTGAATAAAAAATATCTTATATTTTATTTATTTATTTTTACACTAGGATACTTGTTAGCCCTACTTTTTACTTTTATGAGTAATCAATACCCAAGTAAGGTTGAGTCTGGACTTTGGGTTTAAAGTCTGTCCATTGGTTATTCATGAAAGGCGAACCGACTGGATCGTTAAAAATTATGAAAGAAAAATTTAAAAATTCAAAAAATAGACCTTAAATGTCAAACCATTACGTTGAGTCTATGGATCGGTTTGCGAATCCGATCACTTGGCTCATGAGAGGTAATCCGTTTGCCTTCCCATCAACTTGACCCGCAAGCTACTTGTGTGAGACTTGGACCTAAGGTTTAGCCCACAGAATGACTTAGCCCGAGCCAGCCAAAGACCATGGGCTCTACGTTTGTGGCTGGGCTAGATGCCGACCTTTAACCAGGGCCAGTCCTAAGTTTTCAGAGGCCTAAAGCGAAACAAAAACGGATGCCTATATTCACAAAGAAAAAAAAAAATCACCCTATTTCGTATCACTGCTGTCGATTGATACCAAAATAGATATCAAAATATATTTATACCAAAAAAAAAAAGCTACCAAAAATAGGAAAACTTTATTCAATTAAAATGTATTGGATATGTATTGAATTAATTGTTGTTTATGAGTGTGGTTGAATTGTTGTTTATTGAATATGTTGTGTATGAACGTGATTGCGATTGAATTAATTATTTATTCTACTAAAATCTGATAAACGAGAAAAGTTAAAAAAATTAGGACAAATTTATTTATTCCACTAAAATTGATAAAGAAAGAAAATAAAGAAAAAATTAGGGCCCTCTTTTGGGCCACTAACATTTTGTATGTGTATGTAGTATTTCTCATTCAAAGGCCATCAACATTTTGTATGCATTTTAATTTCAATTAGTCCAAAGCACACTTGTAAACAATTATGGGCTCAACCCAATATTTTTGGGTTATTTAGATTGGTCTCTAAACAACAAAAATAATTTATATTTGTAATATACTATCATACTTTTTTAAATTTGTAAACCCTATTTTAAGCCAATTTTTTAGGACCTTGGGGACTTACTGTTTTAACCAAAAAGACAAAAAGTTACCTTTTTAGCCAAAAAGTCAACAACTCATACAAAAAAGTCAACAACTCATACAAAAAAGTCAAAGATTCTCTTTTCTCTCTACTTTCTGCACATCTTTTCGTAATTAGCCAAAAAGTCATCACAAACATATAAGTTTTTTTTACTTACCTTTTTAGCCAAATAGCTAAAAAATTACTAAATTAGTCTGTTCCCAAACGGGGCCTAAGTGACAGGTCTCAATGGCATTAGCCCATGCGGGTTTTGCCTTTACCTAAAACTATTGGAACAATGCTTCCACATGAGCATATAATAATTTTTGGAAAAATTATCTGTTTGTGGTAATTGCATAAAATTATTACATATGTATGGAAAATTTTATAATTTTAATTATAAATATTAATAAATTTTAACACTAATTTGTAATTATTTTTCGACTTACACACTAATTTAAAATTTCCGCATAATTTTTTGGAGACTTACGTGTAAGTTCTAGTCGGTAAACTTATTGTCCAATTAGTCATGTTATAATTAATGGCTTTTTCATCAAACATTATTAAAATAGTCATTAATTATTAATTTCTAGCAATAATTTAAATTTTTGTTACAAAAAATATCACTAATTATAAATTTTAGCATTAGTTTAAAAAAAATCATCACAAAAAGTCATTGATTTTTAACTTTTAGCGTCAGTTTGAAAAAATCACAAAAAAATCACTAATTATAAGTTTGAGCAACAATATATAACAACCATGATAAAAAAAATCGCTAATTGTCAATTTTTAGTGACATGCAAAAAATCATCATAAAAAATTATTTTTAACAATAATTTTGTTGAAACTTATTTTTAACAAAACTTGATAAGAGTTAAATCCAGCTATTCAAACCTATTGATAATTTATCTTAATTTTGGTTGACATTCTTTCCTTAATAGGTCATCTATCAAACCTAATGGGTTAAATTGTCTATAAGAAAAATGATTTGGACCTCTAAAAAAACACCACTAATGCATCTCTAATTTGTCTTTTTCTTCTCTTATTTTTGTCTTTTACTTCATTGTTTTTTTTTTTTATTCCCGGACAGCTCTTTAGAGCTGTACGGACTGACCTCTAATTAGAGGTCTGTAGCAAGATTGTTGTCTATAAAAAGCTCCAAAACAAAACACCAATAGAGTGCAAACCACTAGAATTGGTTGACCTGCGAACTTGGACAAAGTTAAAACGCAACCCAGCCCAAATGTATGGACTCTTTCATTATTCATCCTTGCATTTTAACTAGGAATATCAGCTGTGATTAAGCAAGTGTTCAACAATCACACCCAGGTTTCAAGAAACATACTGAATAAAACTAGCAATTACCAGTGACAATAACAAAGACAATATAACTCCCTTTCTGCGGTCTAATTTTAAGTACAGAATATAACTCTCAGACAGTTTTTCTTGTTTCAGTAAAGGGCATTGCCCCGACTATACAGATACGAGGGATTCCAAAAGGAAAAAAAAATAATAATAATTTATATAAGGTGGGGTATATTCTTGGACCCAAACCCAAAAGTGACAAAAACATGGTCCGTTCCATAAATATGTTCTCACCTGCAATGAATTATTCCTATCGTTGTCAACAAAAACAAAATAAAAAATCATATATACATAGTCAAAATTAAACTCCTTGAAAATTGCAATCCCTTCTTGTCCCAGAGACGACAGGCATTAGGATGGATAGCATGGCAAGTCCTTTAGAGTGGAATTAGATTTTGAGAAGATAATAATACGGGAAGATCTGTTGTTGAACATGGCATTGGGAGTTGATCCAGAAAACTCCTCACCAATTCTGCAACTGAGCAGTAATACTTTTTACCAAGGGGTGGTAAACTGTGTGCATCTGTTTCTTAGCTTTCTCTGAACCAGGTTGATCAAGCCATTCATTGTACAAGCTTTTTATGAATGGGTTCTCAAAAGGATCGGCCTCCAAAACCTGAAAATTATGGAACACCATTTAATAGACCCAGTAAAATGTTATGCAACCGAACTTACAGGTGAAGTGCAGACATAACAAAAGAAGAATACTTGTGGATCATACACGCAAGCAATTGAAATAGCTCCATTGACTATTTGCATTGAGTTCATTACAATTTTCAAATTTTCTTAGTTTCTTCTTATGTTACCTAACCTAGAATGTGAAACATTCAGGTACAAGGAATGAGAATTGGAATGCAGTACACCACATACTCCAAAATGTAGTATGAGGGGTAGACTTCTTAATTTGACATCCAACATATTATAATGTATTTTTCTTCAAATTAATCGTTTCACAACACAATTCTATGACCATTATGATCCATTTTACATTTTGTTAAATCTAAAACTTCACTTAGATTTTAGTTCATTATATTTGATTTTTCCTTGTTAAGAACTTTCAATGAAAAAATTAAATAATAATAATAATAAAATTATGGGATTATTAAATTCCCCATTTTTGGAATGGAAGTGTATTATCTTTCGAAACATGCGTTCCAAAACATAAATTGGTAGGATGCTAGCATTTTCTGGTAACATTGGTTTCTTCTTGCGTGCATAATTACATATTGGCAGTGGGTGCACATTTCTAATACATCCTACAAAAATCAGAGCCCCTACACTATTAAACATACACGGAATGACTCCAGACTCTGGTCAAATTATAGATAAAGCAGAACCCAAGATGTAACTACCAAAGCCAAAACCACACTGAAAGAAGTCCAAGACCTGCATATCAGCCAACACTTACATTTTCCATATAGGTTGTTTCTAATGACTGAATAAAATCCTTAGGAGATTGCTCTGGCTTTCGCTTGATTTGACCTCCACCATTTAAGCACCCTAGTAAATAAAAGAAAGGAAAATCATCTGCCATATTATAGTGTGACATAAAGAGAAGGGCAAATGTTCCAAAAATAAAAAGTCTCGGTTTCTCTATCATGGTTTTCCTGCAATGATCTTCTTGTGCTTTTATC